CTTCTGCCCTCCCCCTCCCTACCCTCGCCCTCCTCCCCTCGCTCCTTCCGTCCCCCTTCACTTTTTTCTGGGTGCTTGTGTGTGTTTCAGGCCTTCGAGGAAAAGTTGCAAACTCCCGAGTTTTTTGTTTCGTTTTTATTTTTTATTTTTTGCTATATTTGAGGGAGCAGGTGTCTGCAAGGAGAGAGCTATGTAGGAGGTGCCCGGGCGCTGAGGAGATAAATGGAGAGGATGGGGGAATGGAAGGGGTAGAGCTGCCAGTCCTCTCAGGGTATTCCAGGGGAGAGACTCCAAACCCTCCTTCTGGAGGGAAGGGGGATTGATCGCTGTATTTCTTTTTTATATTTAAAACAAACAAAAAAAAAAGTGAAGAAAAAACAACCAAACAAAACCCAAGCCAGTCGCCCAAGGATGGAGTTTCAGTAGCCAACCACAGCCGGACTCTTGGGGGAAGCGGGTTCGTGCACGCTGGCTCACGCACACATGAAGAGATTCTCCAAATTGTTTGGCTTCGTGAAGAGATAAGGCCAGCTGAGCTCAATGTTTTTAAAGGTGGGCCGTGTATGATGAAACCCAACTTCTTTTAAAGTGTAGCAGATTTCATTTTTATGGCCAAATGACAGCTTGACCCAGTTGTTATCCAATCAAAGGGCATTTTTTTGAATGTCTCTTTGTGGCACAACAGCCAACGCAAAAATGATGGCGGCTTACAATGGCGGTACGTCTGCAGCAGCAGCAGGTCACCACCACCACCATCACCACCACCTTCCTCACCTCCCTCCTCCTCACCTCCATCACCACCACCACCCTCAGCATCACTTGCATCCCGGCTCTGCAGCCGCGGTCCATCCCGTACAGCAGCATGCCTCTTCGGCAGCTGCGGCCGCAGCGGCTGCGGCCGCGGACCAGGGCAGCAGCAGCCATATTTCCCATCACCGGCACCGGGCCAGGCCCCTGGACCAGCTGCAGCAGCCCCAGCTCAGGTACAAGCTGCAGCAGCTGCTGCAGTCAAAGCGCACCATCATCAGCACTCACAACATCCACAACAGCAACTGGACATTGAGCCGGACAGACCTATTGGATACGGAGCCTTTGGTGTTGTCTGGTGAGTAGAGACAAAAGCTGAACCGGTTTTTCCTTTTCATTTTTTACCAGATCATAATTCATTCTTGGTTTTGTCATTTGAATCAGAATACAAGAAAGCTGCTTACTACAGATGTTTTTGCTGGTTCTCCTCTGTTCTTAGAAAGTTGGCTTTGCTTGTTTTTGTTGGCAGAAGAAGGTTTGGAGTGGTGAAGAGCAGCCTCTAACAGGCCACGCCATCCTCTGCTGAGACAAGTGCGATGTGTTTCTGTACCTTCTGTACATCCCATTAAAATGTGCATTCCGTGTAGCTAAGCCGTGCTTCTGAAAATTTCAGGTTACCAAATGAGCATTAGAATATCCCTTTTGACCCGAGTTAAGAGTTAGAAATTAAAAGCATATGAAAATGTCTTCCTTCTCCAGTCACCTGTCAAGATCTTTGTCTAGGAGGCGCTTTGACCTGCGGTAGCGTGCTGTGTGCTACCTGAAACAGAATATGTGAACTTTGCTCTCCTCTCATAAATGTAAATGGGATTTTCTGGCTTACTGTAGTACGGCCTACGGTCCTTTTATTCCCCCAGCTGCTATTGTGGAGGCTTCTGTCAGTGGGGCGTAATCTCCTCTAATACATTTTGTGACCACCTCAATACAATGTGTGTAGTTATTGCCCTTCAGGATCACTGAAGCAAAGCTGGCATGACTTTGTATCTAATTTTTTGTTCATAAACGCTTGTCAGTTTACCCTGAGATGTTCATTAGAGGCACGGGCGATGCCTTGGTGGTGGTTGTGAGAGCCGGCGCGTTGCCGCACACTTCCTGTATCGCAGAGTTTGAGGTGCGTCTCTGTGCCGTGTCCCCGCAGAACTTTCCGCAGTGTTCGGTCGGCGACGCTTCCTGTGCTGCTTGAGGAATTGTGCTTTAGGTGCCGCCCGTACTTTAACTTTACCGAGGTAGAAGCATTCTGTGACTGGGGTTGCACCACCGGCACGCAGCGCTTTGCAGGACAGGCCTCGCAAGGGCCGAGCGTTCGCCCCAGCCCTTAAAGTTGGTGGTGTGTAATAAAAACGGTGTTTTCTAAGCAGGCTGAACAAGCCGCACAAAGCAGGCGTAGGTTAATGGTACAGTTGATCCCGTGTCCCTTAATTCCGAAGGCCTGGAGAGTTAATTTAAATGCTAAGTTTTCAGAGGTGGGGGGGTGCTGTTGTGCAGCCGGCGCCGCTGCGCTCTCGCTGTGGCACAGTATCAAAAAGTCAAAATGAAAGAGCGAAAACTGATGAGAAATCTACTGGAAAAACTTTATCTAAGGATTATTTCCATCTGTTCGTGTATTTTTTGATAAAGCGTGGAGTACTTTTAACTTCATTGTTACGGACTTGCTTAAATGTAGGTTGTTATGTAAGGTCAGCCCTTGCTATCGTTCCTCCAAGCCTTTTGCTTACCTGTGTGTATTTCCTAGGTCTTTATTTCCTCAGTTTTATTTGCCAGTAAAATAAGGCGCAGAGAGAGATCTGCTTTCATAATATTCAGGAGAATAAAAGGTCAAGCGTGCATATTTAAATAAAATATCATTAAAAATGCTGAGAGGAAAAAAAGCGGCGTGGGCAGAAGGGTCTGCTCCTGCCTGGCATCAGGCAGAGCGGTGCCAAAAGCCCAGCCCCTGACCCCAGCAGGAGTTGCCGTGCTGGGACTGCGCTCCCAAAGTTGTTACCACAGCTTGGGCTTAAGATAACAGCAGCTTAATTAAAAAAAAAAGGAGAAAAAAAAATAGAAAAAGAGGGAGGGTGTTAAATAGAGTAAAAGCAGAAGCTTGGAGGTTGGGGCTCCTCTGGTGAAGCTGCAGGGCTGCACAGACTGAGAATGGCACGGCGTGAAATTCAGTTCCGCTTTGCTCACGGGTATTTGAATTCCGTGGTCACTGTCAGGCTCCTGGCATTTCGTGTTAACTTCTGCGAGTGAGCGCACACTGAGCTAAGGAGTCTGTAAGCAATAATTAAACTGAATTTTAGACGTCATTCAAAATGTGAAAGAATGCCTGTGTCATTTAATTTTAGCTGTGTGAGATAATGCAACTGAACATAAACATTGATTTGGGTATTTATAGTTTAAATGGACTTGGACGTGAAAAATGCACACTTCGGCATACAGAATTGTCAGTAACATAAGGCCTAGGCTAATTTCAAATGAGGATTCTGTGGCTTATCTGAGTCTTTCTGAGCGTGCATTGGCACTGGCAGATGTCTGAGAAGTTCTTATCTGTTTCTCTGAGGGAAATGGATGTTATTCTGCAGAGAGTTGGGGTATTTGAAGTCTTTCATCTTGCTGCTGAGGTGTGCGATTGCATTGTCTGGAACGATACAGCGTCTCCTGCAGTTGAGCTCGGCAGATAAGTAGTCAGCAGTGCGGGGGACTGAGTTTCCCGTCGGTGATTCTGACTGGCAGTTGAGTTGGCGTTTGTCATTAGTTCACTGGCCTGGCACTGTGTGATCTTATGGGGCAGCTAATGTGCTGCTGGAGTTTTTCACTCGTGAAGAGCCCAAGCATCACCGTGCTTCAGCATTTTCATTGTTAACTCCTGCAGGCTGGCGTCGCTG